AAAAATACCGTTAAAAAACATGGAGGGGAGAATCAAAATATGGGATGGCTATATTTGAGTTCTTGAAGGCTCCTGACTTAGCCGTTTAACCCGGATGCGCAAAGTACCGTTCCAGTTGAAATTTCTAATTCAATAAATTTTAACATTTCTGCTTTCTCTTTGTTTACATCGAAGTTTCATACCAGAGGTTCTAAGACAAATACCTAAAAAAAAACAAGTTTTATGTTTATTAATTTTACTTACGGAACAAGGAAGACGTATTCTAACTTATCAAAATCTTAACATTTATTTTTATCGATGCTCAATGTATATGTTTCAACAGTGCCCCACCACAATGACTTTGTAAATTCACTGTTTATTTTCTTCTTCTCTCTTAGGCCCGGCATGGACAGATGGTTAGGGCGCTCGACTCGCAATCTGAGGGTCGCGGATTCGAATCCCCGTCACACCAAACATGCTCGCCCTTTCAGCCGTGGGGGGCGTTATAATGTGACGGTCAATCCCACTATTCGTTGGTTTGGTAAAAGAGTAGCCCAAGAGTTGGCGGTGGGTGGTGATGACTAGCTGCCTTCCCTCTAGTCTTACACTGCTAAGTTAGGGACCTCTAGCGCAGATAGCCCTCGTGTAGCTTTGCGCGAAATTCAAAAACAAACAAACAAACATCTTCTATCTTAACCCTAGAAACAATGACCTTGTGTGTGATTAAAGTATTGGTAAACAATAATGATATGTTTAAAACTGCTTATGAACAAACTTAAGTTCAAATTATGTTCCCGTATGATGACAATTACAACCCTCGGAGTATGAACTGCGTTACTTTAAAAAAAAAAAGAAAAAGAAATGGCCCCTTTCCCGCTAATGACTCAGCAGTAAGTCTGTGGACTTAAAAGGCTAAAACTCTGGTTTTGATACCGTTGGTGGACACATCACAGAAAGTCTGTTGTGTAGCTTTGCGTTTAACAAAAACAAACAATCAAAATGGCGAAACATGCCATTGACCACTATAACTTGCGTATTATTACGATAGTTATGTTTCCTATTATAATTTGTAACTGATTATAAATGTTAGGTTAAAAGAACTCTATATGGCGAATAAAAATCTTTTTCGCGTGTAATAGTTTTATGCGCAAAGTGTTAAGTTTGAATATAAAAACGATACTGATATTTTGAGCGTATAGAAAATGTTTGAGCGTGCGTACAACTAAAAGATATACTCCTGTTATTTATCACGGATGTAAAGCGTATTTACAACTTACAACACTAAATATAAACTTAACACTATATTTAAGTTCGGTGTATGATAGTCAAAACTTCCCCGTGTCTAATATGTTTTTCCAAATGAAGCGCTAATTTTGATATGCCATGAATAAATAAATAAATGTACACATATTAATAGATTAAGGTCGGGTGTAACCTAGTTGTTAGCATGCTTAGCTGCAGATGGAAAGGTCCACGGCTCGAGACATGATGCCGTTTAATAAACTCTACACTTTCAGCTGTGGGCGAGTTGCATAAAAATAAGTATACATAAAAATAACAGTAATTCCTATTATTTTGTTCAACAAGCCGGACAAAGCCTTTGAGGCAGTGGGTGCTGCTGGCTGTTTACTCTCCCTCTATTCAGTAGTTGAAAATAAGGGGCGGTTATACTTGAGCCATAGTCGAGTACTATTTACATTTAAGAAACTTAAGATAGTAAATGTAGTCTGTTCATTATTTAACTTCGAAAAGTTTTTTATGAGATAAATATGTTTTTGTTTGTCATATATGCTTTGACATTTCAAAGTTTCAATTGAACGTGTACTATCATAAGATAATTACAAGTACATGTATACTTGCGACTAGGAATACTATCGCGCCAAACCCAGAGACAAAGACAATTATAACTGTTACTATTCAAACCTCTCAACATTTTACGTTCTTGTTAATGGTTGCAGCTGTCACATCTACGTGACTCCTTTTATCGCTAATTCGTCTGAAGATTAAACTGGGGAAAATGAAAGAGTTCAAGATCTTCTGAAATTGTACTTAGTTATGCAGTTTAATAGGGCGGCTGCCTGAATATTGTCAAAAGGGTTGTAATGTTGCACGGATGCTTCACGAATATATACGTATGGACACAGCACGCTTTGGAAGCATGACAATACTATCCAATTATTAGTTTGCAAGCTTTCGAGTTGTTATTTTAACGTGCCAACCCCTTCGTGACTAAAGACACGGAACTGTAGCTGAAATTGATGGGGTGTAAGAAGAAAATTATTATACTGTGTCAGTTAATAAGTAATACAGGCAAGAGTAGTTAATTCTTATTGTGAAACAGGTTCATGTATGTTTCTGTACATTGGAGGATTGATCTCGAAGCTGTTGTTTCTCTGTATAACAGTTTTTGAAATAATCTTTGAGCCCCCCCCCCTTCTTTCCCTGGAACAAAACATTCGTATTTGTTTGTGATGTAGCATGAATTATAGTTTTGGATTAAGAGTCACGAAAGTGTCATTCAATTTCAGAAAATTTAATTAGGTCTTATTTAAACTTCTGGAAAATTTGAGGCGCTTATTTGTCAAGTATTGTTATTATATTGTTAATATAAAAACTGTTACATATCACTACCAACTTTTAAAAAGCCAGACCTATCAAAATTAGTCTCTAGCGAAAAACAACAACAACAACATTATTTACCACCGTCCCTATTTGTTACAGTAACCTTACGATAGTACTAGTACTTACGGACAGGCCATCGACCAGACTGTGTGTAATAAAGCCCTCTGTTTTCCAAACTTAGAGGAATGTGGGAGGAGGAGTAGGGGAGGGACATTGCGGTTAACTTGTTTATATATAATAATTATTATGCCCATTGGTTTCCAATATTTTGCCAGATTTCGGCATTTAAATCGTATCTATTTTAGAAATTTCGGACTTTAAGGCCTAAGTCTATACTTTGGTGAAAATAACCATGTTGATTACATTTCCCCCAATTCATCTAACATTGGTTACATAATCATGGGTACCTAAAATAGTTTAATGTTCTCGTAAAACTTCTTTAAATTTTTAAATAATAGTGTTTAGTTTCAGCTATTAAGCTATGTAGAGCGTTTATACTCAATTGTTTTATTTGATTTCAGAAAGGACAACATTGTCACCGAGTTACATCATTTGTTCCTGGTGCCAAAAGATTGGAATGAAACTGTTCACTTTAAGAACTAACAGCGGCTTCAAGGCGTTCTGTAGCGAATTGTGTTTTACCCAATGTCGAAGAGCATCGTTCAAGAGAAACAAAACGTGTGATTGGTGCAAACATATTAGACACACAATTAATTACGTCAATTTTCAGGATGGTGAACAAATTCTGCGTTTCTGTAGCGATAAGTGCTTAAATCAATACAAAATGAATATCTTTTGCAAAGAAACTCAAGAGCACCTTCAATTACATCCGAATTTACAGGAAGTAGCTTACCAATTTGAAAATAGTGCTTCCAAGAAGCTGATTACACCAGATTTATGGCTAAAAGGATGTAAAGATGACAACTGTACTAAAAAATTAAGTCAAAGGGAGTCTTCGATAACGCTGCAAAAGAAAAATGGAGATTCCCCTCTTACACCAGATGAAAGGACCATCTCCTCGCATACTCCTACTACAAACACTTCACCAGTCGATTCTGAAAGGAAATATTATGATTCTTTATCGGAGGAAAAAAATTCCCCAATTCAGAATGATTGGAAAGAATCTGAAAAAATTCTGTGTGGTCGTACTACAAACAGATATGAATCAAAAAAAGATGTTTCAGTTCATCAACATACAGGTTCTCGGTGCAATCCTAATACAAAATATAAAATTCCTCCCATATCAGCCAACACCAACTCTTCAACCGCTCGAGAATCCACATCTAATTTTCAGTCAAACTCACTTAATCCAACCGCTTCAATACCTTTTGGTTTTCCTGGTACAGAAAAAGTACGACAACCTATGGTGAGGTTACCCAGTTTTTATCCTCCACCTCCATTGAATCTGGCTGCTCAACAACATCTTGACACTTTTATGCGTCTAAGGAATGGTTTCAGTTTACAGAGACCTTTGGGGTTTTCAGGATCATCGTTTCCTGTAATTCCTGGATTTTCTTCGCCTATTTATCCGGCGAATTTACTCAACTTTCCAAGACCGACGCCTGTGGGAACTGAACCTCGACATGCTTCACCATTTCCAACTTGTTTAACTAGCTCTCCACCTACACCAACAGCAACTCCTCCTGTAACTTTAGTGGTACCGTTCCCCATTCCTCTTCCAATACCAATACCAGTGCCAATTTTTTTTCCTTTATCACATAGTCTTTTCAACAAAAACTTGGACACTACTTCTAATTTGTCTTCACACTGCGAAGCAGAGGTATTAAATAAAAGCACGTCCAACATATCTGAAAATCAACAGACTTCTGAAAATGAAACCCCAGTAGATGCTTCGATTCCAAGAATTACTTCACTCCAAGTTCAGGAAAAATCACGTTCTTTAAGTTCATTGGAGCAAATTTCGCACAGGAAGAATGACATTGACATTTTGAGTAATTGTTTGAATTTTCCTACGACACAAATTCAAAATGAAAATGAATCTGTTGAAAGCAGAAAAAGCTCCAGAAGAAATAAAAACCCTTGTCATTCGACATGCCAAGAAGAAAATACAGTTGATTCAAACTCTACACATGTACCAGCAAATTCTGGAGAAGAACGAGAAGAAATTTCTGGAGAGAATGATATCGTTGGACACTATAACTCACTTCTTCCTTCAAAATTTTTAAATAGACAAAAACGATCGTTATGTGATCCCAACTTGAATGAGACTCAACCACAACCTAAGAGAAAATACGTTTAAGATAAAACTTAACTTTTGGTTCTTAATACTTAAAATGACTTCTACCATTACCTTGAAGAGAACAATGAAATGTAGACAGAACTAATCTATAGTCCTTTTTTCGAACTATTAATATCCGTAGATGCACATCTCATTTTATTGCTTAAACAACTTTTTTATAAACGGGTACACCTTACTGAAAATGAGAAATCCCCCCTTGAGGTAACATATACGTTTGAAGTTATATCTTTAACAAGTAATTTCCGATTCAACGGTAGAAAATATGATCATTTTGGTAAGTGGTGGGTATACTATCAGATCTGGAAATCTGGAAGCTAAAGAATGAGGTACATGGCTGTGTAGGACATGATCAGGGAATCATTTTACCTTGCTGTTTTCTTGGGTCCAAGCAATTCACCCCGCACGCTATTTCCCCATTATTTGGTCCCACTCTCTTCTCTTACACTTGTAATATTATTGTACTAAACTCAAAATGTCTTCGTATTCTACGTTCATAACCTGATCTTGAATCGTTCTCTCCACCTATACCCCTCGCATCGTTGAGATTCTTACCACATTGAATCATACCAATTAGAGGGTGAGGTGTCGGATAAGTCCGTAAGTTTACCGCTCCTGTACACAGATGTACTTTTCTTTAACTACACTTGTAAAACATCGGAGATTTTGCTACTTTACATTTGCAGGTTATATTTGATTCCAATCTCGTTTTAATCTCGACAAGAGAAAACACTCAGATTCTGACTCGTTGTCTCAGCAGTTCCTCACATGTATCACAGAAAATTCGGGAATATGAGTGTTTCATAGATAATGCACTATAACAATGCCATCACAATTGTCTGATAACTCTGCTGACAAAACTTCTTTGGATGTTATCCTATTATAGATCAGCGTACACCTTCGAAGTCCTCATAAAATAATGAACATTCCGGTACATTTTCAGAAAAACAAAAATAATAAATGCCGGATATGGTTCCTACAAAGTCTTTTACCATTTCTAATACCGTTGAGTCGGAGATTACTTGTATACTGTAACATTCAGGTTTTTAAACGCCGATATTTGAGTATTATTTGTGGTATGCATTTGGACATTATGTAACAGTTATAGCAAACTTATAAAATTGATAATTTTAAGAAACTATACACATTTGCTTTTGGATGTTTTTTAAATGCAAAAAAAAAAAATCATCAAGAGTGCAACAACATAACTTTTTGTTACGAGTTTCTAGTTGATAAATAATTTAGAAGTTTTAAACTTTTCTTTACAGGACAGTGAAAATTACTTTGTGTGTTTACGCGTGCTTCTTCTTGCAACGTATAAAATGTTTTTCAACTTTTGTATGCGACACAGCAGGAGTAAGTTTTTAGGTGTTTATTTTTTAATAACTTTATGTATAAGTGTTTGGTATATTTTCTGTCTTATTCTCTTAAAAAATTAAATCATGAAGACATCAAACTACAAATTTTTTTTCTTATATTTAATCCTTTTATCACGAGCTACGATTTCGAAAATATACACCTGGATAAAAGTTAAGCACCCCCGTGTTTTTTTCAAGTGATTCAGATTCGACGTTCTTGTGACTAATTATGAATTACCATTCAATCTAAACGTGTTTATCAAATGAAATTATGCATTATTGGGCACAAGAAAACAAGATTATCACCGTAAAATAACAATTTTTAATTTACACATCATGACATC